GAATCCTTTATTGAGATTTTATAAATGAAAATGAGTGTCACACCAACCGAAAAAAGTCGGGGAACCCGATGATATGCCCCTTAAGGTGTGCAGATGATTTATTGTACCTTCTTGCTGCCTTGTAATCTCTGTCGCGCCATGCCTTAGGAATCCTTGGTAGAGCCTTGATTGAGGTATAAAGTTGGAATTTCTGCAACCAATCCTTGACCTTTTGGGGAATCAAAGAGTCACACAGACGCCTTGCCACATGGTTAGTGTCGTTTTCAAAGGCCTTGGCCTCATCTTTGTTTGTTCCATATTGTGTATAGGCTAGATGAACCATCTTGGCCCTGATGATTAAATCAATGTGCCTCCTCCAGGGAGGGGCCTGATAGATCCGGTGGAGGTGTTTGACCTCTTCCGCGGTTACAGTACATTTGGGTGTGACTTCCAATATGATTTCTTGAAATAGAGCATTGATTCTTGCTTCATCTGAAAACCCTAAATCCTCCATGTCGACCTCATCACTATCTGATTCTGAGTGGCCACTAGAATGCCTTTGCCTCAGATAGCTAGGTTTTCTTCTTCTTTTGAGGACAATTTTCTTGAGCGATGTTTCTAGATCGCTTTCGGAAAGTTGTTCGTCCTCATAATGAGTCAGAGACTTCTTGCCCTTCTTGGATTTATCTTCCGAACGAGCCACCTTTATGTTCATGAGGGCGGCTAGGATTGTTTCTGAGGTATCTTCTCTCTTGACTTTGTAGACAATTTCATCCAGGATTGCGCCTGGTTCCGAGACATTCTTGAGGACTCGAGCAGGATAGTATCCTGCTGCAGGGGTGTTGCAAAAAACGTGAACGACAGATCCCACCAAGATATCTGCCCCACTGGTTTTTACGAAAGTTTTTGTAAAGGCGTCCATCTGAAAAAGGGGAGAGGAAAATATGAGAAAATTCTCTTTTTTTTTTTTTTTTTTTTTTTTTTTGAAAAAAAACAAGTTCATCATTTATCTTTATTTATTTATTTTTTTTATTAAAAAAATATATAATAAAGTGCAAGAGATGAGGAGAGAGAAAGAAGAAAGGGGAAGAAGAAAGGGGAAGAAGAAAGGGGAAGAAGAAGGGGTAGGGAGAGGAAGAGGGGAAGGGGAACGAACAAAATTTTTATTCCTTCTTTTTAGGGTGGTTCCCATGTTCCTCCACGGGCCGTAAAATAAAATTTGCAACATTTGATACCACCTTGTGATATTTGTGTCTGCTTCTGGTCATACGAAACTGTCTGTAGCAAATTGGAAAACGGTCGCGTCTCTTCTCCCTATCTGATACAGGAATTCTCTCTCATCCCCCCCCCCCTTTTTTTTTTTGGAAAGTAATAACTCATTTAACTCCAGCTCAGAAGGTACATCATTGAACTGTTTGGAATACAGACCTGAGTTCGAACCCAGATGATGGAACCTGAATACCTTGGGGCCGGTTGGCTCCAAACTAATTTGAGCTCACTCTTTGAGGCGGAAGAAAATCACGATCGTCCGCGGCCAGGCAAGCTTGGAGGATTTGCGTACCCCATTTGCATCATCTTGCGTATCGCGGGATTTGTGATTTTGCTACCGGTGAGTATGCCTAGAGCGGGAAATAGATATTTTTGGGATTTATAACGGGGTAGCCTGTCGCTTAGTTTGAGGCCAACGAGGCAAGTACCACAGTCGACGATCCTTTCAGCAGCTACAAAAAATTCTTCTGTCGAAAAAACGATTTCTCTCCCTCTTTTTAGAGTAAATACGTCTTTTGGTTGGCCTGAGTTGGGTAACAGAATGAATCTGTTCTTGATAAATGGTACCCTTCCGCCAAAGTTCTCCTGACGCCAAAACCATGCTGCCTGTCTTGATTTTTCCATATTCTGTCAGAGGTTTGGCTGGGCTTTTTTTTTTTTTTTTTTTGGGGGGGGGAGGGGGGCAGGCAGCAAGGCGGTTGGTTGCTGGCTGCTGTTACTCGTTAGTAATTTTTGCCAGGCTGGTTTTTGGCGGATCTAAGGAAACCTCAGTCCTACTGGTTGCTAGCTAGTGTTTTTCTTTTTTTTTCCTAGTCCCGGGGCCTTGGTCTCTTGACAATTTGTTTGACTTTGTTTGAAGGAGTCCAACATTCTTTGTGATGCATCAGGACAGTCAGGAGCTTCGGTAGCGTATTGTATGGTGGAACATACTCCTGGGGCGAGATCCTTCCTAGCAAAGAGGTCTGCAAAGACAGTTCGATCTATCTTCTTGTAAACACGTCTGGATTTTTTATATTCAGTACTCTACCCGGGCTGTGCTTATGCCCGGGTTTGTGTAGTAGTTTCATAATATTATGGACACAGATTCTGCGTTAGTATTCTTGGTTCTCAGGGTCATATAGTAGTGGCAAAACAGAACGTCTCCCAGGGAAGATCGGTAATCCTTTGCTGATTTGGTTTTTGCAAGAGGGAGTTTTGAGAACCATCGGGAAGTTTGGTGAGTTTGCTGTCATTTTTGTTTCCCTATCCTTCCTCCTCCTTTCTTTCTCTTTTTTTTTTTTTTTTTTTTTTTTTTTTTTTTTTTTTTT